TTTTTTAATGCGCGCGCGCTAATCACGCGTGAAATTATGCGCAGTAGGGATGCGCAATGCAATACTGGGGAATGACCTTAAGGTTATTCTTTAGTGTTGCACAGGGTGTCCTCACATCCGTTTAGAATATGAATAAAAGAACACCTTTATCACGCGTGCTTTGTGTTTTGTGGCGGCCATTTTGAATTTTGTTTAAATACGCGGTCTGCTAATACGAAGTCTGGAACCGAAATTACGGAAGTCTGGAACGGGCGGGAAAATTCGCAAATTCTCGGAGGATCCGATCGCGCACCGAGGATAATAAAGAGACATTCATTTTCTTAGAGCTCCGAGCAGGCTCCGAGCGATTTCCGTAATTTCGGTTCCAGACCTCGCACTAGTAGACCGCGTATTAAAAATTCAAAATGGCCGCCACAAAACACAAAACACGCGCGATAAAGGTAGGTTTAGCCTCTAATCATATTCTAATCGGATGCGAGGGCTCCCTGTGAGGATGCGCAGAAACAATTTGCGCGAAGGTCCTTAATGGGGTTTGGTTTGGCATATGAATGTAGCGGAGTTGGGAGGCTCGCCTCATGAAAAGTTTGGCGTCTGAACTGGGCATTTTTTTTTAAGCTCGCGCTAAGAGTAGGCTAGCAATAACATTCAGAAAAAGTACCACGCTTTAAGGTTACTCCAAACCTTCGAGGGTGTCCTCCAGAAAAAAATTCGCACGCGCGCTGTTTTCTAGGAAACCACCACAAACTATGTATCAATAGAAAGGTTATGAAATGTTAATGTTTAATATTTTATTTTCATTTTCTGGAAAATGTTACTTTGAATAAAAAACTTTAATTTGGCTGGAAAAAAGAAACTTTGGAAAAAGTAGCCCCGCGAAGGTTTGGAGTAACCTTAAGTTCAATTAACATTTTATCAGTTCATAATTCATTTCAAACCTTTCTTTTGAGGGTTTCTGTAAAGAAATACTTTTGTGACAGATTTAACTGTCCAAGATAACAAGCCGAGAACCCACCCCTTTTCAATCTGTGAGTGAAAATTGATATTATGCAGCTCTTGAACTTCCTCATCTTCAAATTTTTGATTTAGGAATCGCCCATTCATTGTGTGGCCTTCACAACTCGTGAAGTCTTGGAAGATGAAAAACCAAGCTTGCCCTCTGACGAAACATTGACAGTTACTCTGTTAAGCAGTGAATGGAAGTCATCAAAGGTTGACTTGTCGACCATCAACAGAGAACTTGCAATACAATTGGCAAAAGGCCCTAATGTGGAGGTTTATGTCTATCTTCCCAAATGTAGCGAAGAAGATAAGAAAGATGCTCGTAGTCACAGTGTTCAGCTCATTGAAGCAGAAGAACTTCCAGGTTATGAGCAAATTGAGTGGTTGAAATCCTTACCTAAAAATCATCGTCCTCACTGTGTAATTGGACATGGACTTCACCTTGGTCGACAAATACCACTCATAAAGCTGCAGCATGATTGCAAGTGGATTCAAGTTGTCCACACGGCTCTTGAAGAGCTTGGGATGTACAAGGGTTATGAAGAAGGGGAACAAAAACATCAAGAAGAAGTTAAACTCTGCGAGCGAGCTGATCAAGTTGTCGCTGTTGGGCCCAAGCTGGCAGATGCCTACTCCCGTTACCTCCGTTCCAGTGGGAAAGATCAAGATGTTATAAATATCACCCCAAGCATTTTCCCGGAGTTTCGCAATGTTAAACAAGCCTTTGAAGAAAGAGGGACGTTTTCTGTTCTGGTATTTGGACGTGGTGATGGTGAAGATTTCAAGTTAAAGGGGTATGACATCGCTGTTCAAGCAGTTGCCCAACTGAAAGACTTATCCTACCAGCTCATGCTTGTTGGAGTACCAGAAAAAAAAGGGGATGAGGTGGCGAAAAAGTTACTCCAGCATGGTCTCTCCCAAAGTCAGCTAACTGTTCGCCGCTTTAAGGAAAATAGGGAAGAACTAGCCAAATTGTTCTGTGAGGTCGATCTGGCAATCATGCCATCGAGGACTGAGGGCTTTGGCTTGACTGCTCTAGAAGCTCTATCTGCTGGTCTTCCTGTACTTGTGAGTGGTAACTCAGGACTTGGAGATGCTCTGAAGAAGGTTCCTTCAGGGACCTCTTACGTAGTTGATTCGGAAGATCCAAAAGAATGGGCCAAGGCTATCAAAACCGTCCGTGAAAGAAACAGAGGGCTTCGACTTGAAGAGAGTAACCTTCTTCGTGCAAAGTATGCAGAGACGTACAGCTGGCGGAAGCAGTGTGATTGTCTTGTGGAAAAGATGCTGCACCTTTCGTTTGGTAAGATAAATGGTTTTGCATTGCCCTTTTGGTTAGTAACCTGTACGAATAAATTAGATTATAAGACTGAGATTTTCATGAGGTGATAGCTGAAAATGTGGAAGGCCTCATCAACTGTCATCTCATAGAAATCAATCGAGAATAATCGAATTCAATATTTTGGCAGAATTCTGACCAAATTTTCTTTTAATGGCGATTTCCAATTAACTCTCGACATATCACGGTTTAGTAAACGAAAATGCTGCCGGTGTACGCGGGATCTGTAAAAGATCTGATCAGCCAAAAATAGAAACATAACAATGAAGCAAGGCTGATTACTACGTAGAAAGCTTAACGGGACAACGACATGATAGAGTCCAAACTGAATGCCAAGAATTGCAACCGTGGCCAGAGGTTTCGACCTGGTTGGGTCTCGTCAACACGGTGTAGCAAATAGTAAAGTAGTCGGCTGGCTGACTGATCATCCACTAAATGCAGATGATAATGACCTCACATGAAACTCAAATCCAAATGTTTGCAGATTGGCCAATGTCACATGTAAAACGCGTGACAAGGGACAATAGGCAACATCCACAATATCATGTCGTTGTAGCGATAAGGAGACTGCGGACAGAAGAAAACTGTCTCGCAGAAAGTACATGACCAAACTATGTTAAAATGAGCAGCGTATCGGATCTAAAAGATCTACGGCCAGCTCGCAACATGGCGGACAGTTGCTGAATGAAAAAGAGACATCACTCCAAGTACAGGGTATTTGAAAGGACGGAGAATTTTCAAAATGACTGTTGTCGCCCCTGGACTAAAAATCTTTCGAAGAACTGTTATTCAAAGCATTTGGGAATCGTAAACGCAGTGGTTACGTTGATCACCCGCAGGTCAGATCGATTGACCGAAATTTATTTTTCTTCAAACTAAAGCTACTCATTTTTAGAGGATAATGACAACTGTGAATGA